ATGTTCAAATGCATGATTCATCAGGGACATGAAAATTAAAACCACATTGAGAATAATCCCAGAAGAATGGCTAAAATTTACAAAACTGTAATACCAATATCAGTAAGGATTACAGAGCAGTGAAACCTCTCACACCGTGGTTGATAGGGTGTGAATTAGCACAACCACTCTGGAAAATAATTTAGCAGAACCTTCTAAACTGAAAATAGGCAAACTACATGAGCCAGGAATTCTACTCCCAGGTACATACCCCATAGAAATGCATGCACACCAGAAAACATTCATAGCAGTGCTATTTGTATTAGCTCCAAAAGCACAAAAATACTCTTTGTTCCTATTGAGGTCTTCCTGCTGAACTGAGATGGATTAATCTCTATTTATCCTTATGTGCTTTGTCTTGTCAGTAGGTAGGATGTAGCAGGATACATGTAAGGTAATACGCATTTGCAGGTGTGAAATGAAATATGCCCTTAAGAAGACCAAGGTGTGGGCCAAGAAAACAGGGTAGGAAAAATTATTGGAAAGGAAGAAATGTTATTCCTCACGGCAGCTGATGTCTTGGGGGATCTTTGTTGACCAGTATGACAGGATGAAACTTGACTTTAAAGAAGCAATTAAAGCAACACATTTACATCATGATTTTTAAAAAATTAAACAATATAGAAAGACATAAAATATATATCTCCTTACCATCCACAGATCCTCAAAGGTAACTACTTTTTTAGGTCTGCTTTCTAGGGAAAAAAAAGTATAGCAGTTTATATACATACATGTGTGTGTGTGTGTGTGTGTATGTTATATATTCTGTTTTTTATCTTCACATTAATCAGGGTCGTCTGGCCTTCTGTGTGCAGGGTTACCTTAATCTTAATGACCACATTGCATGTCGTTGTGTAGATGTATTAGAATAGTCTTCAACAGTCCCATATTCGTGATTTTTTCTGTTGCTTCCTGCATTTTGGCAGTTATGAATGATGCTACAATAAACATTATTTGAGAACTATCTTCAAGTATTTTCCTTAAGGTAATTTCCCAGCAGTAAAAATGTGGGGTCAAGGGCATGTGCTTTTTTTAAACCCTTACATGTATTTTTTTCATTGTGATCGTAGGGCAGGAAACTTTGATTAGTAGTCAAAGATGAATACTTCCACTTCCGGTGTTCTAATTCACTACTGCATCCTGCTCTTTGAAAACGCAATTTCTCAGACATGTTCCGCGGGACTAGCATGACAATGCGCTCCTCTCAGATCTAAACCAAAATACTATTCCTGAGAAAACTTCTCTTTCAGTCTCAGCCCTGGGAAGGAGGTCTTCATGCTGCCGTGGATATCACTGCTGGTCCTGGGTGAGTAGACTGGCTCGACAAGGGTCCTGGGTGGGGTAGGGACAACCTTTCTCCCCACGATGGCCATGACCCTTTGTTTGGGGCTCAGCCCCTGCTCAGAGATCCTTCCCTGCTGAGGGTACCGTGTTCTCAGGATTTACTACACAGCTCAGGGGTTCCTCCCCTGAGGCTGAAGGAATGGTCAGAGCTGAAATAAATCTTCAACCTTACAGGGCAGGAAATCACAATGACCACAAGGGTTAAGGGTCTATTCATTTTTTTTCTACAATAAATATTACTTCATGAAGTTCAGAAAATATATTATGCTTGCTTGTTCATACTGCTTTACTTTCCTTTGTGCAAAGGAGATGTATTTATTCCTTGTATAGCAAGCCTGGGTGCGGGAGGGTAAGGTTTCTAACATGAAACATGTCTCTTGCGTCTGCTCACAAGTGCAAACCACAGCAGCGATTGGTAGATAACACAAGGAGAGGGAAGAGAGAACAGGGACGCGGAGGGGAAAGTGAGCAAGACGAGGGAAAAACCTACTTCTATCCCCTAGGTTTACTGAAATATAACTGGCAAATAAAAATTGTGTGTTTAAGATATACAAGGTGATATTTTGACATACACATATTATGAAATAGTTACCACAATCAAACGAAATAACATTTCTATTACATCTCATAGTTATCTTTTGTGTGAGAGTGTGGTAAGAATATTCAGGATCTACTGTCCTTGCAAATTTCAAGTAGACAACTATTAACTATAGTCACCATGCTATACATTAGATCTGCTGTACATTCATCTCATAACTGAAAGTTTGTTTCATTTGACCAACATCTCCCTGGCTCCCCGCCACCCCCCCCCACACACACACACATCACCTGGAAAATGCCATTTCTGTTTCTGTGAGTTTAAGTGTTTTAGATTCCACATATAACTGAGATCATGCAGTATTTGCTTGTCTTTGTCTGGCTTATTTCTCTTAGCATTATGCCCTCTGGGTTCACCTATGTTGTCATAATGGCAGGCTTTCCTTCTTCACTTAAGGCTAAATAATATTCCATTACATATATGAGGCACATTTTCTTTATCAATTCATCAGTTGATAGACACTTAGACTGTGAGTGTTGCTGAATGAACACGGGAATATAGATATCTCTCTGAGATACCGATTTCATTTCCTTTGGATATGTACCCAAAGGAAGTGGGATTGCTGGGTCATATGATAGTTTTATTTTTTAATTTTTAAAGAAAACTCCATATTATTTTGCACAGTGGCTGTACCATTTTACTTTCCCACCAACAGTATATAAGGGTTCCCTTTTCTCTGCATCCCAGCCAACACTTCTCATTTCTTGTCTTTTTGGTAATAGCCATTCTAACGTGTGAGGTGGTATCTTGTTGTGGTTTTGATTTGCATTTCCTGATGATTAGGGATGTTGAGCATCTTTTCATGTACTTGTTGGCCAGTTGTACGTCTTCTATCAGGTCCTTACCTGTTTTTTAATGAAGTGATTTGTTTTCTTGCTGTTGATTTGTTGGACTTCCTTATACATGTGAGATATTTTAACCCCTTAGTGGATAGATAGTCTGCAAATATTTCCTCCCATTTCATAGCTTACTTCTTCATGCTATTTTTTCCCTTGCTGTACAAAAGCTTTTTCCTTGGGTGTAAGTCCATTAGTCTGGGTTGCTTTGGTTGCCTCTGATTTTGGGACCATATCAAAACAAAAAGAAAAAAATCATGTCCCAGACCAATGCCAAGAAGCTTCTTCGCTATGTTTTCTTCTAGTAGTTCTACAGTTTCAGGTCTTATATTTAAGTCATTAATATATTTTGAGTTGATTTTTTTATATAGTGAGATGAAAAGATCTAATTTTCTTTCTCTTCATCTAGATACTGTTTTCCCAGCCCATTTCCTTTTCCCACTGTGTGTTCTTGGTACCCTTTTTGAAGACCAGCCAACTGTAATTATGTCTACTTATTTCTGGGCTCTCTGTTCTCTTCCATTTTTCTGTATGCCTGTTTTCATGCCAGTTTTGATTACTATAGCTTTGTAATAGAGTTTGAAGTCAGGAAGATGATGTCTCTAGTTTTGTTCTTGCTCAGTATTGCTATGGCTTTTTGAGTATTTTGTAGCTCTATATGAATTTTGGGATTTCTTTTCTATTTCTGTGAAAAATGCTAATGCAATTTTGATAGAGCTTGCATTAAATCTGCAGATTGCTTCATATAATATGGACATTTTAAAATGTATTAATTCTTCCAACTATGAACACATATAGCTTCCATTTATTTGTATCTTCTTCAATTTCTTTGAATAATGTTTTGTAGTTTCCAGTCTAGAGATACTCACTTCCTTGGTTAAATTTACTCCTAAATATCTTACTATTTTTGATGCTCTCATAATTGGGACTGTTTTCCTAATTCCTTTATCAAACAGTTCATTGTTAGTGTACAGAAATGCAACTAATTTTTGCATATTGATTGTGTGTCCTGCAACTTTACTAAATGTCTTAGTTCTAACAGTGTTTTGATAGAGTCTTTATAGGTTTTTTTGTATATAAGATCATATCATCTGCAAACAGATAATTTTACATCTTCTTTTCTGACTTTAATGCCTTTGATATATTTTACTTGCCTAATCACTCTAGCTAGGACTTCCATGCTATGTTGAATAGATGTAGCTAGAGTGAGCATTTTTTCCTGTTCCTGGTCTTAGAGGAAAAGCTTTGAGCTTTTTACCATTGAGTATGATGTTAGCTGTAGGTTTGTCATATATGGCCTTTACTAGGTTGAGATAATTTCCTTCTATGCCTAATTTGTTGAGATTTTTATCATGAAAGTGTGTTGAATTTTGTCAAATTTTTCAATGCATCTGTTAAAACGATCATGATTTTTATCCTTCATCTGTTTAAGTGATGTATCACATTTATTGACTTGCATATGTTGGGTCATCCTTTCATCCTAGGAATAAATGCCACATGATCCTTTCAATATACCATTGAAGGCGGTTTGGTAGTATTTTGTTTTAGGGTTAGTGGCCTGCAATTTTGTTTTCCTGCAGTATACTTGTTTGGCTAATTTTGCACAGTGTGTTTGTGAGTATTCTTCTTCATTTTTGTGGAAGAGTTTGAGAAGGGGGGAGTAAGTCCTTTAAATGTTTGGTAGAATTCACAAGTAAAGTCAACTGGTCCTAGCATTTCCTTTGTTATTCAGTTTTCTGGTGTATAATATTAATAATAGTCTCTTCGATTGTTTCCACTTCTGTGATTATCAGTTGTAATGTCTCCTCTTTAATTTCTGATTTTGAGCCTGCTCTCTTTTTTCCTTAGTCTAGCTAAAGATTTGTCAATTTAGTTTATCTTTTAAAAAATCAGCTTTTAGTTTTGTTGATCTTTCTACTGCTTTTTATTCTCTATTTCATTTATTTCTACTCTTATCTTTATTATTCCCTTTCTCCTATTAATTTTGGTCTTCTTTTCCTAAATCTTTGAGGTATAAAGTTAGGTTTGAAAATTTTCTTTTTTCTTAATGTAGACATTTATCACTATTAACTTCTCTCTTAGAATTGCTTTTGCTATGTCGCATCAGTTTTAGTATTGTGTTTCCATTTTCATTTCTCTCAATGTATTTTCTGATTTTCCTTTTGATTTTTTCTTTGACCAACTGGTTGTTCAGGAGTGTGCTGCTTAGTTTTCATTTATTTGTTAATATTCTAATTTTCATCCTGTTATTAATTCCTAGTTTCATATCATTGGATCAGAAAATACACTTGACATGATTTCAATCTTCTTAAATTTGTTAAGACTTGTTTTGTGACCTAACATATGATCTACCCTGGAGAACAGTCCATATTCACTTAAGAAGAATGTGTATTGTACAACTATAGGTTAAAATATTCTATATATGTTCATTTGGTGGATATACTAGAAATATACACTACTTGGTCTATAGTGTTGTTCAAGTCTGCTATTTCCCTATTGATTTTCTGCAAATGATCTACCAATTGTTGAAAGTGGAATATTGAAGTCCCCTACTATTAGTGTATTATCTATATCTCATTTCAGTTCTGTTAATATTTGTTTTCTATATTTAGTTGCTGTCATACAGAATGCATATATATTATGGTTGTTGTATCCTCTTGAATTGTTCCCTTTATCATTATATAATGTTTTTCTTTTCTCTTACTACAGCTTTTGACTTAAAATCTTTTTTTCACAAAAGTAGAGTTCCCCCTGCTCTCTTTTAGTTACCATTTACATGGAATATCTTTTTCAACACCTTCATTTTTAGCCTAAATGTGTCCTTAAAGTGAATCTCTTATAAGCAGCATGTAATTGATATTTTTAATCCATTGAACCACTCTATGCTTTTTATTAGAAAATTTAATCCTTTTATATTAAAAGTAGCTATTGTTAGACTTACTGTTGCCATTTTGTTCATGCTTTTCTTTTTTTATTAAAGTATCATGATACACAATCTTATGTTGGTTTCAATATACAACACAGTAGTTCAACAGTTACCTATATTATTAAATCCTCACTCCCTCTAGTGTGGTTACTATCTATCAACTTAGTAAGATATGATAGATCAGTGACTATATTCTTCATGCTGTACTATTGTCCCCATGACCAACTTATATTGTGTTATGAATTATTGTGCCCCTTTACCCCCTTCACCCTCTCCCTCAACTCACCCCAACTCCTTCCCCTTGGTAACCACAAGTCACTTCTCAGTGCCTATGGGTCTTCTACTACTTTGTTCCTCCTGTTTTGTTTTGTTTTTATATTCCACAAATAAGTGAAATCATATGCTATTTGTCTTTCTCTGCCTGGTGTATTTCACAGAGCACAACCCCCTCCAGATCCATTTACATTGTTGCAAATAGGAAGATTTCTTTTCTTTTTATAGCTGAATAATATTCCACTGTGTATATGTACCATCTCTTCATTATCCATTCATCTACTGATGAACACTTAGGTCACTTCCATACCTTGGCTACTGCAAATAGT